CGCCGTGCCGGGCGTCAACAATCTCACCGGCCTCACCTTCCCCTGGATGGAGAGTAACCGCAGATACACCAAGGACAGGTTCACAGGTGAGTCCGGCCGGTGCTCGCCCAGCCTAGCCGAGGCCGGGGCTCAGAGAGACCCCTCTGCTCCCCGAGGCTCCTGCAGCCCGCGCTGCGGGGAGATTGCCCGGAGCCTCTCTGCGCTGCCCTAAGTTCTGCCGCTCGCCGAATTCTAGGACCGCAGGATCGTCTTGCCCAGAGAGTTCTCCCAGCCTGGACCTCCCTCTCCCGCAGGACCCCTGCTTGGAGTAGCTCTACCTGGTACCTTCCAGAGACCCCAGCTCCGGGCCAGGCACAGGGAAGGGATCTGTAGTTTCTGAACTCCCTTACACTGGCATTTGGGGCTCCGGAATCTCGGAGACAGGGATGGGATGCAAACTTTCATCTGTTGGGACTACTGTCCTCTGACCCTTGGGGACGACTGTTCTCTGATCGGGCAGCCAGCCCCAGACTCAGAAAGGAACAGGTTCTGGCCACCTCTTGGCTCTCTATCTCCCTGTCTCTGTCTCTGTCTGTCTGTCTCTCTCTCTCTCACACACACACACACACACACACACACACACACTTCGCACTCTGAGATCCAGTGCCTACTGTGCTGCTAGGCGGCAGAGGCCCTAGTCTGGGTGACAGCAGCACAGCCAGCGGCCCTTCTTCCCGGACTGGGCAGGCAACAACGGGTTTGGGTCCTGGGGCTGAGCCATCAGAGACAGCTCACTCTTCATTTTCGTTCTCCCGGGGCTCAGCGTCCTCCCCTGGGCTCAGTCCTGTTATCTCCGGCCTAAATAATGCACCGGCCAGCCCAGGATCGATCAGTAGTGGGGAATGACTCCCGGGTGATTTCTCACAGGGTGGTGGCTGGCTGCTGCCCTCTGCTCTCTGCTCCCTGCTCTGAGCTGCCCTCCCTTGCCCAGCTCTCTCCCGGGCACTTCCGTTCTGGGCCCTCAGCTCTTAACTCTCACGGGCCCTTCCTCCGTCCTCACTTCTCAAGAGTTCCTGGGTCCTGAGACTGTGATCCTCCCAGAGGGCCAGGCCCCCAAACTGGACTGGGAAGCAGTCACCAATTTTAAGCCCACTGTTCACAGTCTGGGCCTTAGAAAGAGGGCTGGAAAGCGGCAAAGGCCCCTGCTGGCCACCAGGACTCCCTCCAGGTGAGGTTCTGGGGCCCAAAAGTGGCCGGAGAGATGCCCACAGCCGCCATGGGAGACACAGCTTAAAGCTACACTGGGCTAGGCTACATGAGGGCACTAGGGACACAGAGGCCTACTTGGAGCCTCTGATCAGACTTTGGAGCCTGGGAGGAGGTTTGGAGTCAAACAGCTGTTGGACTGTGGGCTCAGAGAGGGACCCTTACTCAAGAGGCCCCGTGTCCCAGCCCAAAGCCTCTCAGGCCTGGGGAAACAGGGCCTGGTGGCCATCTCAATCCTCCACCCAGGCCAGACAGTCTTGAAGGGCTGAGCTAGAATCCCAGCCCTGAGCCCACTGCTTCTGGGTTTCCGGTGAGAGGTGCTCCACACACAGTCTGCCCTGGGAGCGGCAGCGGGCCCTGATCCTGCTTCCTGCATGAAGGAGGGCATGGATGACGGTGGCCTTGTGTCCCCTGTGCCTGTGCCCGTCCAGGTGTGTGTGCCAGCCCATTTGGGTGTGCGGATCTCTAGTCTGTGTCTGTTGCTTTGTAACAGAGGCTCAGGTCAGGACCCAGAGTCAAGGGATCTGATCACGCTGGGCCTCTGTCTGACAGTTCCTCTGAGCAGGAGGCCTGGGGCCTTGGAGGACTTCAACCTTTAGTTGACAATGACTGCCCCTGAAGGGGGGAGAGGGGAGAGGGAGGAAGGGAGGCTGCTGGGCTCTTCTAGGAAGGCTTCTGTCTTGGTGGCGAAGCCCACTGCGGCCTCCAGGTGCTGGCGTCGGCCTGGCGGGAGGGGGCCATTCTCGCCGAGCTCTGAGCTCCAGCTCGGTGCCAGGGCTGGCCGGAGGATCACGGCCCTGCTTAGGGGTCCCGCCGCTGCGCTCGCTGGCTCGCGGGGTGTTGGGCCTGGGACACCTCCTGACGCTCTGCCGCTTGCCTCTGCCGTCTGTCTGTCTCCCGCTCCAGTGGCCCTCTCACCCTTCACTGTAACACGCCGTATAGGTCACCCCTATCAGAACCGGACGCCCCCCAAGAAGAAGAAGCCGCGCACGTCCTTTACGCGCCTGCAGATCTGCGAGCTGGAGAAGCGTTTCCATCGGCAGAAGTACCTGGCTTCGGCTGAGCGCGCCGCTCTGGCCAAAGCGCTCAAAATGACCGACGCGCAGGTCAAAACCTGGTTCCAGAACCGGCGAACGAAGTGGAGGTGAGCTCGCAGGGCTGGCGGCTGTGGGCGTACAGTCTCGGGCAGCTCTCCTTTCTCGGCCTTTCTTGGGAGCACATTCTCTCTCTACTGGCGAATTTCTAATCGGTTTGGAGGAAAGGGATCCTGCCAGGCTCTGGGGGAGTTAGAAACGACCCGGGCTGATAGTCTCGATGGGGTTGAAGGGCCCTGGTTTTACTGGAGATTTCAGCGCTTTCTGGCCCGCACAATCCGCGCTGCGCTCCGGGCAGACTGCACTGGGCTCCTCCCCGCTTACACAAACAGGCAGATTGAAGGGTTCTGTGCCACCCAGGCTTCTGGGCTCAGTGAGTTCTGGGGGGCCTTGTGCTTGCACAAAGTCATGCTCACCGGGGATGGGGGATCCCCAGTCTCAGAGACTGGAGGGAGAATGGTGAGCGGCTTGTTTCTGCGCTCCAGCCGGGCTCCTGGCACGGTGGGGCCCCACACCAGGCGCTGGGCCCTGCTGTCTCCTCCCCTGACGCTCTGCACTTGGATCTCCATCCTGAAAAGGGAAAATCAATCCTCACCGGCTGCAGAGACGTTCTGCGGGTCCCACTGAAAGGGGGATCAATTAGGAGCAGATGGGCGTGTGTGAGAATGAGAGACATTTTCCCATCTCCCAGCACGTAGCCACAACTACAGCCGCTGCACACTCGGTTCATTTTTCAGCATGCACATCCCTCGACCTGTCTCCTTTCTTTCTTTTTTTTCTTTTCTTTTCTTTTTTTTTTCTTTTTTCTTTTTTTTTTTTCTCTCCTCTCTCCCTTACCGTCATGGACGGGAAGTGTCCCAAACACCTAAGCCTCCTTATCCTCTGCACACTCTGTCACTTTCTGCAGCCACGTCTGCTGAATCCTGCACCCCGTCACTCCTGTGGCCCCATACTTGGTCCGGCCCAGGCTGGGAGTCCCTCCCTAGCTTAGGTCCTTCGGGAAGCACAAGAGAGTCTGGGCAAAATCTGGGGCGCCCAGCCGGGTGGGTCTGGGGTAGGAGGAAGGAATTGGGGTATCCTCTTTTTACTGAATGAGGGCAAGGAATCTGCCCGGATTCCACCTTGGGGCCACAGAGGAAGCAGTGGCCCTTTGGGTCTAAGGCTCCCTCCCCTCCCCAGTGTTCAGTATTCTTACCACTGGGGAAGTGGGGGGATAGGACTTTGGGCCTCTGGGAAGCTAGTTCTAGACTGAGCAAAGGCAGGCTGAGGGTGGGTACTGGTGTTTCCAAAGCCTGCGGAGGACTAAGGCCTAGGGCAAGGGGAGCAGCCAGGAAGGCCCCCCTCCCCCCCAACACACACAGAGACACAGAGAAAGGCACGCAAAATGAAAAATTGAAACACAAAGATAGCCACCCTACTCCTAGAAAAAAAAAAAAAGAGAAAAACAGGCAGCCCAAAGAACACTTACTCATAATAAAGAAAAGCAATGGATGATTAAAACCGCCATTTTCGCCATTTTCGTTTCAAACAAATCCCCTTAATTCAGAGAGAACAAAGGGGATGGGGATGGGAGAAAACGAGAGCTCGCACACAAAGCGGAAAGGAAGAGAGGCTTTCAGGCAGTCTGAAATGCAGGGAAGAAGGGTAAGGCGGGAGGCTGAAAGATACAGAACGGAAAGTCAGGCTGGGGCGGCGCGGAGCAGGCTGGCGGCTGCGGCTGGAAGAAACCTCGCAGGCTTCGCGCGGCTTCATCGATCGCCTACAAATTGCTTCTGGAGGCCCCGGGGACTCCCATTAGGTCTGTCCACCTTAGAGACAGACGTTTGATCTCAGCTGACAGGGTGGAGGGGCGGCATTAAATGGAATAAGTGAGTCACCGCCTCCCTGGACTGCCTCGGAGGAAGCCAGGCGGTCCGGCGGGAGCTCTGGCAGGACCCAGGGCTCGGCGCGGGAAGCCCCGATCCTGCCTGACAGACGTTTGCAGAGAGAAGGCAGAAGACAGGTCCCGCGGGCGGATAGGATCCGCTGGGCCTTGCCTCTCTGCCGTGCAGTTGTGCGGACGGTGAGACCCCTCGGCTGGAGACAGCGCCTGGTCTCCCGAAGGGTTGGGGAGGGGCGAGAGACCAGCCTTGCCCTGGCGGCGCCTTGGCTGCTATGGGTGTGGGCACTGCGCGCAGCTGCGGAGCCCTGACTTGGGGCCCAGCGGACTTTTCCACTGCTCCTTCGTGATACTTGGATTCCATCTACTTTGGGGGTATCCAGTCTTTTGAGTCAGGACTACCCTCTAGAGTAGGAATGCATAAGGGGGGGGGGTGTTCCAAACTGGAGTTGGGGCTGCAAAGAGAGGCCGTGCCCGCTTAGGCTTTCTCCTGGGAGCGCACCGGGAGTCGGCACGCCTGGCAATCTGGTCGGTGCCCTGGCAGGTAACGGCTTGTTCCCGTGCAGACGGCAGACCGCGGAGGAGCGCGAGGCCGAGAGGCAGCAGGCGAACCGCATCCTCTTGCAGCTGCAGCAGGAGGCCTTCCAGAAAAGCCTGGCGCAGCCGCTGCCCGCCGACCCGCTGTGCGTGCACAACTCGTCGCTCTTCGCTCTGCAGAACCTGCAGCCATGGTCCGACGACTCCACCAAGATTACCAGCGTCACGTCGGTGGCTTCCGCCTGTGAGTGAGCCAGACCTCTCTGCCCAGTAAGGGCTCGCCGCTGAGGCCCAAAAGCCAGGACTCTTCCTCGGATCTCCCGGCCTCGGACTTTAGGCCGAGGGTGTCGCTGGGCACTCGTGCCAATACTGCTCTCTTCCGTGGAAGAGCCTGAGGGACTGGACAAGACAGCCTCCCAGCCGCCACATGGCCCATGCCTGCCTGAACCATTAAGAGTCTTCTCCGTTGGCATCTATGTCATTTCATTCTGATTTTTAATGTGGGACGGTGACAGAGACAAGGGGCGTGGGGGAGGAAGAGCTCCTGGGGTCCCCAGGGCTGCCTTCTGAACTTGCCCTGAGAAACCATCGGTTTGTGTTCGGTGCCTCATCACACACACACACACACGAATACTCATAGGCCCACACAGGGGGTTGCTATTGTCTCACCTGGTGTCACCCCAGAGCCACATGCGGGAACTATGGCAGAGGGTGATGCACACACAGGGTCATAGCTTTCACACTCTTGACCTTCAAGATCACGCACAGGCCAGGAGCCACCAGACTCCTTGTGAACAGCATGGCACTTCCCCTCACACAGACCCAAGGCCATGGCCACACTGTGACATTCCACCCTACACACAACAGCCTCACCTGGCCTGCCAGGCCACACCACACACCCAGCCGCACCTAGGTACGCACATACCCGTTTCCAAACTTAGCCCGTTGCTCCAGATCCTGTTGGTAGGGGGGGTTTAAGTTATGCACTTATAAGGTGTTTTCTGTGTAACCATTTTATAAAGTGCTTGTGTAATTTATGTGGAAAAAAATAAAACCCTCCGCATCAGGAGTCAGGACGGCCCACTCCATGCCAAGCCCCGCATCTCAGAGCTACTTGGGTTTGGTGTGAGCTAGTGCTTGGGGACAGCTGCTAGTACCTGAGTTTGAGGGACATATGATACAGGGAGGCAGGCTCTGGAGAGAGGAAAGGACAGACAGAATGAACAGAAGGAAAGCAGAGCTGAGGCAGGAGGGAAAGCCAGGCTCTCCTGGGACTGCTAGTGCTTGAAAGGATGCGGATTTCTTTGAGTGTGAGAGTTGTGTGTGTGCACTGTTGTGCGTGTGACGGTGTGGGCAATCAGGATGCTACTGATAGTAAATATTTATAATGGTGTTTAAGTGTGTGATTGTGTTTAATTTGTACGTGTAAGTGCCTGTTTCTGCTTAAGTTGCAAATCGAAACTATCCGTGTACGCACGCACGAGCTTGTAGAGGGGTGTGTGTAACCGCGTGTGAATGCAACTACCTTTTTGATAATTGCGTGATCACCCATCTTTGTGATGTTTTTGTACAAATTGTGTTGATGTTTGTGAATCTATTTTTCTCTTTGCAAATCTACGTTTGTGCTCGCGTGTCGTCTTTAATCGTACGAGTGTGACTGAGTATGTGATGTCGTTGTGCGTGACTGTGTATTCTGACTGCCTACACGTTAGCGTGTCTGTAACC